GGGCTCCCGCTTGATACTTCCTGAAAACGACGGCGCCCCAAAGTCGGGGGGTGGGGGACTTGTGCGGCCCAACAAATCAACGAATCGACACCGACTGTGTAATCACTTCCGACGGTTTTTGCGGGGGGGGGGGGGGCACTTTCTAGATTTTTGGGCCTACTTGGAAGGAAGGCCAGCGCTGCAGCGGGAGCACGACTCGGAACGAGCGGAAGCGAGGATATTCGGAACGAGCGGAAGTCCGAAAAGAGTGCCAGCGCTTCAGCGGGAGCAGCATGACGCGAAAACATAAATCTCGGGAATCCTGTTATGTAAAAAAAAGTACGCGGAGGGGGACCGAATATCTTCCAGACGTCATCAGGGGAGAGAGGAAAGTAGTATTCATATTGTGTAATTGTAGAGGAGAATAGGTAGGGGGAGGAGAAGAGGGAAGATGGGGAGGATAAGGATAACTGGGTAGGAAAGAGGTGGATGGATGGATGGATGGATGGAGGGAGGGAGGGAGGGTAGAGGATAAGGAGGAGGAGGAGGAGGAGGAGGAGGAGGAGGAGGAGGAGAGGAGGGAGGAGGAGGAGGAGGAGGGGGAGGAGGAGGAGGAGGAGGAGGAGGAGGAGGAGGAGGAGGATGAGAAGGATGAGGACGAGCAGGAGTACACAGAGGATAGTGGGGAAGCCCTCTGTGCAGGTCCTGGGCGACGTGGGCGACCTGCTTGACGCCGATCTTGGCGAGGCCTGGCCTTTCCCGCCCATAGGGGCTCGCCGTGCGCGCGGTGGTTCACGGGCGAAGGGAAACAATTCTTGACGCTTCACGTATCCTCACCAGCCCATCCAGACACGATGCCCAGGTGAGGTGCTTGGATGAGGAGGGTCGAAGGGGGGGGGAGGAGGATAGGATGAGGAGGAGAACGAGGAGGAGCAGGAGGACGACACCCGCTGCTGATTTGGTCGGCCACGTCATGCCAAGTTCCAGTGGTTTTCCGCTCACCCTAGGAGGAGGACGGAGAAAAGGAGGAGGAGGAGGAAGAGGAGGAGGAGGATGAGGGACAAAACTGATGAGGAGGAGGAGGGGGAGGAGGGGGAGGAGGAGGATGAAGAGGAGGAAGGTGAGAGGAGGATACTGAGGACGAGGAGGGGACTCTGCGGATCTTGTGTCCTAACCCTCTTGTGTATGGTTCTTGTTTTAAATAGAGCACTGCTCGCGCAACCTCCCGCCCACTCTCCCTCACATCCTCCTGCCTCCTGTCTCCTTGCCTCCCTTGCTCGTACCTTTCCTACGGGGGGGCTGCCAACTGCGCAATTGTCACCACTTTCGTGGGCTCCTGGGAGGTCCAGCTGAGGCGGTAGTCACGCGAGGCCTCGCGGCTCCCTGGGAGGCTGTGAACTGCGCAACCGTTACCCTTTCGTGGGCTCCTGTGAGATCCAGCAGAGGCGGTAATCACGCGAGACCTCGCAGTTCCCAGGGAGGCTGCGAGCTGCGCAACCGTTGCCATTTTCGTCGGCTCGCGACATGTCCAGCGAAGCAGATCGTCACGCAGATCCTGGCGTTCATTTACATAGTCACCTCACGTGGAGAAGTGGTTGGGCATGCCTCGGATGATTGTGATAGCCTTTTGGAGAACTCTTTGCGCTACCTTGTGTCTTCTTCGGGCTCCTTTGGGGTCATCTTAGGAGTGTCTCCATGCCCTCTTGGAGGACTCTTGGGGCTATATTAGGGTCTTCTTGGGACCCTTTCGGGGTCATCCTGGGACGGTTTCGTGGCCTCTTGGGGCTGTTTTGGGAGGCATTTGGGTCCTCTTAGGGCTTCATGGGGGTGTCCTGGGGCCTTCTTGGTGCGTTTTTGGGCCCAGCGGCTCAACAAGGGGGGGATTCAATTCGGGCCTCACCCCTCGGAGGCAGTCACATTGCCTCTTGGGGCGAGGCCCTGTGGGGTCCTCTTCGGGCTCTCTTGGGTCATCTGGGGGCCATCTCGAGCTCTCAGAGGCCCATGGGAGGCGAAACGGGTGCCTCCTTGGAAGGCTTCGTGGCCACTTGGAGCCGTCTTGGAGCGGTATCTGGGCCTGTTGGAGACATCTTGGAAGCTATCTTACGCCATCTTGGGCTGTCTTGTGTACCATCTTGGCGGCTATCTTGGAGCGTCCTGGGCCATCTTGCAGCCACCTAACACCCTGGCCGCTCGCGCTCCCCCCTCCCGAATAGAGGGGAAGAAGGGGTTCTGGAAGAGGTATTCACATAATTCGTTACACCACCTACGACCAGATGGCTGGTGGAATTCAGTTTCGTGGTGCCCGAGGCTTTCACGAGGTCCATGGGGACGTGCCAGGGGACTTCCTCAGGGACCTGTCCACACTCGTGTCAGGGGACGTGTCCAAGGATGTGTGAGGGCACGTGTACAGGAGCGTTCCAGGGGACGTCTTCAGGGACGCGTTAGGGGCATGGTTCGAGGGTGACAGGAACCTGTGTGCTGTGGGGCCCAGGGGTCGTGGGCGAAAGGAGCCAACACGCCCCGATGCGTCCAGGTGGAAGCGACCCATGTGTTTTGTTGGTCCTGAGGCTGGCGGTGACGTGTCCAGGTAAGTGTGCGTGTCAGGGGGCGTGCCCGTGGACGTGTCAGGGGACGTGTCTGGGGACGTGCCTAGGAGCGTGTCTGGGTCGGCGGAGGTGTCGGGACGTGTCTAGCAGCGTGCCAGGGGACGTATCAGGGGACGTGTCAGGAGACGTGTCCAGGTGCGCGTCAGGTGATGTGTCTGGGGCCGTGTGAGGGAGAGTGTCTAGGAACATTCAGGGGCGGTGCCATGGGACGTGTCAGGGAACGCTTTCAGGGGCGTGACTGGGGACTTCCCCAGGGACGTGCAAGGGGGACGTGCCTGTGGACGTGTCATGGGACGTGTTCAGGGATATTCTATTAGGGTGCTTTGCTGAGATAGTTACTCGCTTCAAGGAGGCAATTCCTTTTCAAGGCGAACGCACGTGTCAACGCCACTGTTTTTTGTTGGGACCAGCGGCATTTCGATTGCGTGTTGTCGCGTTGTGGGAAGTGGCCCATCCCAGGTCATGCGATTTGCAAGCATCGCGTCGTCGAGGCTATGGCCCCCAGAAGTGTGGGACACGTCACGTTTGTGCGGGAGGAACAGGCAACAGCATCGGCAAGCATCCCGTGAGAGGTTCGGCTCGTTCCGTGGGCGTGCAGCTCGTGTGGAGCCGAGAATCCACAAGCCGAGCAGGAGCGACGGGCGAGTCTACCGCCGCCACTGCTCCCGGCAGCGACACACTTCTGTTACTCGTGCCCTTCGATCAAAGGCAGGGGGCCAAGGATGAGGTGCCTAGAAAATCTTGGGCAGCTTTTGGACCTGCTCCCTCCCTGTAACCCTCGCAAGTCTTACGTTCACCCTTTCGCTCGGTCCTCCGCCACCTCACCCCTCCTCCAGGCGAAGGCTTCGTTCCTTGCTCTCTGTTGGCCTTCAGAGGGTTCTTTCGTGCCCGCAACCTTCCTCTTCTGCGGCGGTTTCGTTCCTGCTCTGTTGCGCGTCGCGGCTTTGAGGAGCAGCATGCCAGGGTGCTTTGAGTCGCAAGCGCATTCAAGGAAAGAACCCAGCTATCCTGGTGTCAATGAAGCAGATTTCCTGTGCGAGCCGGCCGAGAATGATTGCATCCAGGTGCCCATGGCTGTGCCATCGTGCCAGCGCAGCACTGTAGTGCGACATGCCACAAATTACCACATCGGCCGCAACATGTGACACCTGCTTCCCCCCCATGCACTGGAAGGCAATAATCTGTGACGCCCTTCCGCGGGAGCTAGAGGGCGTAGTGTGTGTAAGTGGCCCCCCGCAGAGCCTATACCCGGGTGTGGCCCTGAGAGAATGAAAGAAACCGAGCCAGGCACTCTTGGAATTATCCAATTTCGCTTCGTGCGGAGGTGCACGTTGACGTGCTAGTTATTGGGCTGATTTCGTTTTCGCCAACACCAGAGGCGCGATCAGTCGTGATCGATCGTGTACTGCGTTGCGAAGGCTGGCTGTGGCTCCGCATGCCCGGGTGGACTCTGTCTGCCTCTGCTATGCAGTCATGTGTTTTCTGCGTAGACGGGCTTTCTCGGTGGCTTCTCGGGGGGCCTGTTGATATGCTTCTCGTGATCTCTCGGTCCGGGTCTGGGCCGGTCTTCGGCGACACTGACAATTTTTGAGCGCCGACAAGCAAGGGAAGCACTCAATTGTCTTATGTATCTATTGCTGTCTGTTGTTTTTGCTCTTTTGCTTTGCCTCTGTGGGTCGTTTGTAGATGTTATCTGTGTGCCATGCTTCTGGACATCTCTGGGGGCCTCTTGAGCTGACTGGCTGCAGGGGTACATCGGCTATGCTAGCGGCGTGGCGCTCCGTGTGGCCGTCGTCGAGGTGTCTAGTGGGAAGGAGCTGCTCGGACGTTTTGGCGGGGAAAGTTTGCAGGGGCGGTTTACTCGCCTAGTGGCTCATGGGGTCTGCAGTTTTTGCTTCTTCCTGCGAGGCTGCCCGTGTATCAACAACTCCCAGGGTGGGATGCCAGAGCACGTCCTGAGTGCGTCACGGGCTGCAGCGCGTGCGGCGGTAAGCGTTTGTTGCACCCGCCTGCGCGTAGGACCTAGGGGTGGGTGGCCAGAGGTGACCCGCTCGTAGTGCCTGTGCCTCTTCTCATTCCCTAATCTGACAGGCGGCGGGGTCTCCGATGATCAGCCTCTGTCCAGCAGTTTAAAGAGCTCAGTCCACATAACGTCCCTGTGCCCTCCAGCGCGACGGTGCAGGCAGAATGGTCCTCTCCAAGAGGAGCAGGCCAGGGCCGCTGCTCTCCTGCGTTTCCTGCGCCCGCGCTCTCCTGCCCAATCTACAGCTGCGGGCACACGCAGCGCTCGTTCAAGCGCCGAGCGTAGCGACCAAGGGGTCCGGCGCGGTGTAGTTATTGTGGACGGCGCGCGGAACCGACGGAGACAACCCGTTCTTCAGCTGCTGCGGCATAGTGGGCGCAACACACATCGTCAAGTCGGCCGCTCTTTCCGTCTCAGCGTCGAATGGGGAGGGGGGCCGCCCCACAAGTAGGCCAGCGAATGGGCAGCCTACTTTGGCCAGGCGTCACCAGGCGAAGACAAAAGGGGCACATCCCAGGCCGTTTAATGTTTCCCCGAACCATCCTGTGGTGTTGGGTCCTCGTTTTGAAGAGACAGCGCCCCGCGTCTCCTCTCCTCTCCTTCTCCTCCTCCTCCTCCTCCTCCTCCTCTTCCTTCTCCTCCTCCTCCCCCTCCTCCCTGTTCCCATCCATCTCAGGCCGCATGCTTCCACGCCACCCAGTCCAGCGTTTCGTGGCTCCACCGGGAGCTCCACCGAAGGCTCCTGTGGCACAGGCCGCATGCGTCAACGTGACCCAGGACAGCCTTTCGTGGCCCCACAGGGAGCTCCACCGAAGGCTCCAGTGGCAGGGTCAGCATGCGGGGACCGCCATCCATTTCAGTGCACCCATCACACGGTTCGTGGCTCCACAGAAAGCTCCACCGAAGGCCCCAGTGGCAGGGTCCGCATGCAGGGACCACCACCCAATTTGGCACACCCCTCACGGTTCGTGGCCCCACAGGGAGCTCCACTGAAGGCACCAGCGGCAGGGTCCGCAGGCGGGGGCCGCCTCCCAATTTGGCACACCTCTCACACGGTTCGTGGCCCCACCGGTAGCTGCACCGAAGGCCCCAGTGGCAGGGTCCACAGGCGTGGACCGCCATTCATTTCGGCACGCCCTTTACACGTTTTGTGGCCCCACAGGGAGTTTCACCGAAGGCCCCAGTGGCAGGGTCCGCATGCAGGGACCACCACCCAATTTGGCACACCCCTCACACGGTTCGTGGCCCCACAGGGAGCTCCACTGAAGGCACCAGCGGCAGGGTCCGCAGGCGGGGGCCGCCACCCAATTTGGCACACCTCTCACACGGTTCGTGGCCCCACCGGTAGCTGCACCGAAGGCCCCAGTGGCAGGGTCCACAGGCGTGGACCGCCATTCATTTCGGCACGCCCTTTACACGTTTTGTGGCCCCACAGGGAGTTTCACCGAAGGCTCCAGTGGCAGGGTCCGCAGGCGGGGACCGCATTTTGGCACACCCCTCACACGGTTCGTGGCCCAACAGGGAGCTCCACCGAAGGCACCAGCGGCAGGGTCCGCAGGCGGGAACCGGCGGTGCCACTGGGGCCTTCGGTGGAGCTCCCCATGGGGCCACGAAACCTGTTGTTGTGAGGGGCGTGCCGGGATGGGTGGCGGGGACGCATGTGAGCGCGGCCGCTGGGGCCTTCGGTGGAGCTCCCTATGGGGCCACGAAACGTGTGAGGGGTGTGCCGAATTGGGTGGGTGTGGGTGACGCATGTGAGCGCCGCCACTGGGGCCTCCGGTGGATGATGGGGCCACGAAGCCTGTGAGGGATGTGCCGAAATGGGTGTGCGGGACGCCTGCGCATGTGAGCGCGGCCGCTGGGGCCTTCGGTGGAGCTCCCTATGTAGCCACGAAACGTGTGAGGGGTGTGCCGAATTGGGTGTGCGTGACGCATGCGGGCGGCAGCATTGGGGCCTTCGGTGGGGCTTCCTTCGGGGCCACGAAACGTGTGCGGGGTGTGCCCGATTGGGTGTGCGTGACGCATGCGGGCGGCAGCACTGGGGCCTTCGGTGGGGCTCCCTATGGGGCCACGAAACGTGTAAGGGGTGTGCCGAATTGGGTGTGCGGGACGCATGCGGGCGGCAGCACTGGGGCCTTCGGTGGAGCTCCCTATGGGGCCACGAAACGTGTGAGGGGTGTGCCGAAATGGTGTGCGTGACGCAATGCGGAGCAAAATGGGAGCCTTCGGTGGAGCTCCCTATGGGGCCACGAAACGTGTGAGGGGTGTGCCGAATTGGGTGTGCGGGACGCATGCGGGCGGCAGCACTGGGGCCTTCGGTGGGGCTCCCTATGGGGCCACGAAACGTGTGAGGGGTGTGCCGAATTGGGTGTGCGGGACGCATGCGGGCGGCAGCACTGGGGCCTTCGGTGGGGCTCCCTATGGGGCCACGAAACGTGTGAGGGGTGTGCCGAATTGGGTGTGCGGGACGCATGCGGGCGGCAGCACTGGGGCCTTCGGTGGGGCTCCCTATGGGGCCACGAAACGTGTGAGGGGTGTGCCGAATTGGGTGTGCGGTGACGCATGCGGGCGGCAGCACTGGGGCCTTCGGTGGGGCTCCCTATGGGGCCAAAACGTGTGAGGGGTGTTCCGAATTGGTGTGCGTGACGCATGCGGGGGCGGCAGTACTGGGGCCTTCGGTGGGCTCCCTATGGGCCACGAAACGTGTGAGGGGTGTGCCGAATTGGGTGTGCGTGACGCATGCGGGCGGCAGCACTGGGGCCTTCGGTGGAGCTCCCTATGGGGCCACGAAACGTGTGAGGGGTGTGCCGAATTGGGTGTGCGTGACGCATGCGGGCGGCAGCACTGGGGCCTTCGGCGGGCTCCCTATGGGGCCACGAAACGTGTGAGGGGTGTGCCGAATTGGGTGTGCGTGACGCATGCGGGCGGCAGCACTGGGGCCTTCGGTGGGGCTCCCTATGGGGCCACGAAACGTGTGAGGGGTGTGCCGAATTGGGTGTGATGACGACGATGATGATGGTGGTGGGGCTTCCTATGGGAGGAGGGATGTGCCGGGAGTGTGTGTGTGTGTGTGGGGAGGAGGAGCGGGAGCGGGAGCGGGAGCGGGCGCTGTCTCTTCAAAACGAGGACCCAACACCACAGGATGGTTGGGAACAAAAGGTGGAAACGCAGGAACAAACAAGAATATGCAAAGAGAAACAGCACAAACACAGCAAGGTAAGGAACCGATGGCAGCAATCAATCAAATATGTAAGCATACGCAGTGAAGAGGGCCAACTACAGAGAGGGGCAGCTGGAATAATGATAATACTAAATAGTAATAAGAAGGAACAGACTAATAAGAATACTATGAATAATAAGAATAATAATAATCATACTAATATTAATATTAATAAACATACTACTACTAGTCATAATAATAAAAATAATACTAATAAGACGAACAACAATAATACGAATAATAATACACATCATAATACTAATACTAAGACTATTAATACTAAGAAGAGGACTAATAATAATAAGAAGAAGACGAATAATATTAATACTAAGAAGAAGAGAAATACGAATACTATTAATAAGAACAAGAATAATAATACGAATAGTAAGAAGGATAATATTACGAATAATAAAACGATTAATAATAGTATTGAGAATAATACTATTTATATTAGTAAGAAGAATAACGATTATCGTAATAAGAAGAATACTCATAATACTAAGAAACATAAGAATCATAATGCGAACCATACTAACACGAATAATAATAATGATAATAAGAATAAGAAGAACAATACGAATCATAATAGCACTAAGAACAATATTAATAAGAAGAATATGAGTAATAATACGAAGAAGAAGAACAAGACGAATAATATTAATAATAATGATGAGAATAATAATAAGAATAATACGGAGAATCATAATAATGATAATAATCAGAATAATACGGAAAATAATAATTAGAAGAATAAGAAGAATACTATTACGAATAATAAGAAGAATGCTAAAATTAATAATAATAATACTAATAATATTATTAAGAAGAAGAGGAATACTAATACTAATACTAAGAACAAGAATACTAATAATAATACTAAGAAGAAGAAAATTAATAATAAACATGATAAGAATACTACTAATACTAATAATAATAATACGAATAATAAGAATCATAATAGTAATAATAATCATAATAATACTAATAATAATAGGAATAAAAAATAAGCAGAATAATAATAAGAAGAATAATAATAATAATAGTAAGAATAAGAATATTAATACTAATACTACTAATCATCATAATAATATTAATACTAATAATAATGATAATGATAATAATAATAATACTAATAATAACAATAATAGTAATAATAATACTAATAATAATAATAATAATACTAATAATAATAATAATAATAATAATACTAATAATAATAATAATACAAATCATACTACTACTAATAATAATAAGAAAAATAAGCATATAGGCACGAACGGAGGGAGGGGCAGGGAAGGGGGAGGGGGGAGGGAGGGGGGGGAAGGGGACGAAGGGAAGGGGGAGGGGGAGGGAGAGGGGAGGGGGAGGGGAAGGGGGCGACGTGGGGCAGGGGAAGGCGACCAAAGTTTTCCCCAGGAAAGGGCGCAAGGCAAGCAGTCAGTGTCCCGGAGCAGGCCACGACGGCGCCGGCCAGCGCCGGCGACCCCCCCGGCCATGCTCCAGACAAGCGGGCGCACCGCATTAAAATTGACTGGTGCCTGTGACGGCCAGTAGCACTGCAGCGGCGACGAAGTGCACGTGCTCGCGGCGTTCCGCCGGCGGCCGGGACTGGTGAAAAAGAAACTGGGAGACCTGGGCGGGGAAGGAAGGAGGAGGCAGAGGAAGGCGAGACCAGATGGAGGTCCTGAGAGCCGCCGCCGCGGGGCACACGAAAAGAGCGTGCCAGACGTCAACGTCCAGTGCCCCGCAACCAGCACACCGCGGCAGCGTGGGGACGCAGAGTGGGGCCCCGAGGACCTGGAGCGGCCAGCACCCCGACATCCGTACGACTGCCCACACGCGAAACTGAAGCCAGGAGCCTGGGCCAAGCTCCAAGTCCAACGAAGTCTAGACGCTTCGCGTATCCCCACCAGGACCCTGCGCGCGTTAGGTAATTTAGTCGCGTCCGCGGCCCGTGCGCGACCTTCGCCGCTGGCGCTTCCGCCTGCGGCGGAAAAAAACAAATACCTCCACCAGCCCGTCCAGAAACGACGCCCAGGCGAGTAGAGGGTCGTTCTGAGGGGCTTTTCGGCGTCTTGGGTGCCTCGGAGGGGCCTTTGTGGGCCGTTCGGGATCCTCTTTGGGGCCTCCTGGGGGCTTCTTGGGGCCTCTTGGGGCCATCTTGGGGCCTTT